GTTGAGGTTTATCCTACCTGTGGTAGCAAGCCTGCAAAGGATATTGGTTGGTAGCGTGGCAGAAGTGTATGCTTCGTGAAGAGTGCCCTAACTTCAGTTCATAGGTAAGTCTGCATGGTGAGGCCATAAGTTGTGATTCTCTGAGGAGGCTCCAGACATCACTCTGCAGATGAGTGATGAGCCGGAAGAGGGAAAACGTGACTGTAGAGGGTCTGAGTGAAGTAAGAGAAGGCAGACATGGTGTGATTGGTGATTGGATAGTTGGTGTGGAGAAGAAGGAAGACATGGTGTGATTGGTGACTGGATAGTTGGTGTGGAGGCATTGGAGTTAAGGAAGACTTCTGAGAAATCTAGGTTGGGATGACTGAGTAGCTAATTTTTCTCTGTATATTTATATTCTTCCCCTACCTCACTTCTTTTTTCTAAGGACCATACAGGGTAAGGTGTCACTGCCCTCATGTATTGAAAGTCTCCCAATTCCTTTACTTCTTTCTGCACATTCTCCCTCTACTTCATTTCCTGGACAGTGGCCAGAATATTTTCTAGAAAGAGAATAGATAAAAGAAGTATAGTTTTTAAATTGTATTGATAACTCTGAAAAGTTTAGAATAAAATTACATGTTTTTATCTAACATCTGGACCAACCCTGTTGTGTTCCTGGCATTGTCTCTAGGTGCAGTCGGTGCCACTTCATCTTTTGCACAAGCCTTAACCTTCAGTCTCCTTTCAGCTTCCAGAGTGGGCTCGCTTTTCTGTTTTCAGTCTCTTTTCCTTGAATCTTGTGTGTTGAGTATTTCCTCCTCTGTGTGATAGGGTTTACTTTTCTTCTGCAGCTCCCAGATAAATGCCTTTTCCTTAGAGAAGCCAATCCTGTCCTTTCTTTTCACCTCTTCATATTCCCACGGTTGCTGTTTCATCTTACTGTTTAATACTACTGTGTACATGTGTGTCTAGAGGTACGACATTTTATGTCTGTCTCCCATCAGGATCTGTGAACTCACAGAACTCGATTCTTTTCCTCACCATATGCAAGTGTTTATGGAACAAATAGTAACTGTTTAGTGATTATTTGGGCTGCCTCATCTAAAATAAAACAATCATACTGAACAGTATTTAAATCATTTTAAGAAAGAATAGGAATAGGTAATTAGAGCTAGCTAGAAGTTTCCTGTTTAAATAATAATAAACAAAAATTTACCATTACTTTTTAAAAGTCACTGGGAGACACCATTTTAATTCATATAAAATAAACCAAAAAGCAGCTGAACTAGAAAACATAACCCCTTCCCTTATTTAAGGAGGAGGTGACACAAGAGAATGGCCAGCTTCTGAGGGAGGCGGAAATTGTTAAATAGTTTTACCTGAATGGGCTTATTGATGAAGAATCTGTAGTTCCTTTTCAGCCTAAACAGTGTACCGTAGTTTTTGAGATGTGCTATTAAAATATATTCTTTGTATAATCCAGAGTGTCTTTAGTTCTACTGAAAATGACAATTTTGAGTGTTACTCCAGGCCATGTAGTTGTTTCTTCACTTGATAATTTATTCTTCCTTAAATTCATATACAAAATTATAACTGACTGAATACTTTCCTTTTAATGTCCTTTAAATTTCCTTTAATGCTGTCTTCTTATATGGAGTTAAATTGTACAAAATTTTAAGTAGAATTTTGTAGGTGTAAGATGCATGGTTATAATCCAGAGATTATTCTGGAGACAAAGACAGGAAGATGGAGATTTCAAGGACAGTCTGCGCTGTAACTAGGTGCACTCTGCCTCCAAACTAACAGTACAACCTACACGATTAACTTGAAGTGAACTTTTCCTTTCTTATTCTACAGAATGACTTGCTAGTTTGCACACAGATAGTCGTGCCAGCTTAGACTCTCTGAGGTGCATGTGTGTTTTCCTATTTCTGCATCATTCTTGTGGATTAGATGATGTATAAAACGATAATGCTGTCTTAAGTAATAAGGTCACCCTGGGCATATGAGGGTTGTATGGTTGTAGGTGTTCTGAACAGTCAACACTTGAAAACAGCAAATGAACCAGCGTGTTCCTGATGGTCAGGTGTACAGTCTTTTCAGCTGGAAACAGGTTTCAGTCCACATCAGGAAATCCCATGAAGAAGGACTGTCCGCATCCGCCAGCAGAGGGTAGTGTACACATAAAAGTGAACCACTGCCTCGTGAGGCTCCTCTGGCAAGTGTTAGAATCCCGAGATGGCTTATGTTTGGAATCAGAGGAACTGATAGGACAGCGGTTAAAGTGGAGATCTGAAGCGTGTGCTACCATAACGTTGCTCTTTCAGGAGGAATGGCCTCTAAATGTCAAGCCTCATTTTAAACGACCCACTAATCCGCCATGTGGGAAATTGACTCAGTCTTCTATGTGTTCCTGTAACTTCTAGCTTTAAAGAAGGACGGAAGGATAATGAAGAAAGCATGAGCTTTTGATGTCTGACTCGGGCCGCAGTCAGGCGGTACTGCGTTCCAGCTGTATGGCTTGTGGCAGATTGTTAAAGCTCTTTCAATCTCCGTTTCTCCCTCTCCAACATGTAGATGAAAAGAATGCAGAAAATTAAGTAATTACTTTAGATAAGACTCAGTTGATAACAAATCCATAGTAGTTCTTTTTTGAAGGAACCTGTCTATTTCTTCTAATGTTTACATTTGCTGACTGTCTGAATGGGGAGAGGTCAGAGAGCTGTTGTTGGTTTCTGTGTTTTCCTACTGACACCTAGTCACTGGCTAAGAAGCGGCAGCCGGCAAGAGTGCAATCAGATGTACTATTTGTTCATTCTGTGTCTCCTCATTACGGCCCTACTGCTATGGACTGGGCAAAGCCGTCCTTCCGTCTTCATCACACAGTCTTCTTTTCTTTCTATTTTTACTTCATATGCATGCATGCAGTGTTTCATGTTTATGAAAAGTTTACAGGATTGAAGTTCTGTGATGTATAAATGACACCGTGATTGATAGTTGTAGACAGGTTTGGAACTGTTAGAAAAAACAAAAGTCAAACTCCAGACATGCTTGGATGAAGGAGGAAGATCAAAGACTGTTGCTTGAGGATCCACTTCCTTTTTCAAAGAAACATATCTCGTTGGCCTTCATGATACTGAGTTTAAAAAACAAAACACAACAACAACAACAACAACAAAGGACAACGAAACAAAAAGCCTACAGCTGTCCCTGGGCAGGAAGAGCAGTGAAAGACCATGGGAACTGCGGAGCTGAAGCCCATCATCTCAGGTGTGAGACCCGGGAAAGGAAGCGAGCGACAGATGGACAAGGAGCCTTTGAAAGAGGAAACAAAAATTGATTCTGTTATTTGTTTCAAGTTGTGGTGATGTCATTTTATGTGGCATTTCTGTGTATGTGATGATGGATGGTCCATGAGAAACATTTGTCAGTTAGGGTGTGTCCACATAGGTGGAAATTTTAGCCACAGTCTCAGAACTGTCTGGCTTACCTCAAAGCAAGTCTTAACTGCTCCCAGATCCTTGCCTGCTCAGGGGATTTGGGGCTTTGGGGCTCCAGGAGTTCCAGTAACGTCTGTTTCACAGTTGGGGGATAGTTGATCTTAAAAGTGGACATTTGAGCCAAGACTCATGCACTTACCCAACACAGATTCCTCTGCTTCCTGGGACATGAAGAGAACGAGACTGTCCCCTGTCCACTGAGCTCTTGCATTTTAATGGTTAATGATCCTAGACTAGCTTTCATATGTCTTTGCTGTCTTGTGTATATGGCACTGAGGAAAATGTAGTCTTTTAGGTTTTTGTTTTTTTCTTATGAGCCTATACTGATCAAAATACTGGTGTGATATTTTCATCCGTGCCTATGCATCATTTTGGTCACTTTCTCTGTCCTGGATCGCCAGTTTGTCTTATTGGTCTCCTTTAGTTCAGTGATAATATATTTGATAATATATCTGCTTCACTTTCTCTTTGGTCTGTAAAGTGATAATATACTTGATAATATATCTGCTTCACTTTCTCTTTGGTCTTCACTTTCTCTTTGATCTGTTTTCCACCGTGCGTGGCTTTTGTTCTCCCTTCTTGATGAGGTCATATTAGAAGCCTGGGCCAGAGAGGTATGCTTCCGGCATTTCGCATTTCTGGTCTTCCTAGTCCTTGCTGGGGAGGGTATTCTGTGGAGTTACATGGTCTGCTTTCAGAGGTCATATGTGGCTATAAGAGCCGTAAGGAGAATAGCGGACAGAAAGGCAGAGCTGGAGGAACGTGATGCTGGTGTTCTGATTCTTGTGCCAGAGAGTAAAGCAAGATGCCCTCAACAAAGTGATATGTAAATTTAGACTAAATCCCCAAAAGTCCATGTGTAATTGAATATGAATGTAAAGAAAAACATGGGACACTATATTTTTAGGTTTGCTTCAGAACTTGTAAAATTGAGAAGCTAATGTTTCAGTTTCTGGCAGTATTCTCTCACCTAAACTGGAATGCTGGGTCATCCTGACCCAGATTGACTTTTCCGGTGCCCAGTGACTATCCGTCTGAGTACCAGTCCTTGTTTGGCTGTGACGTTTGCACTATGGAGCCCCTCTTCACCCTGTGTCTGCATCTCCTGTGTTGGAATCCTTTGTTGCACTCATGGATGTGGATGTAGTGTGCAGCCTTGTGTGATCTTATGACATCGCAGTACTGCCACGGTTCCCTTTGTCCTTGACTAGAAGCTTCTTTGGTATTTTCCGTAGCCCCAGTGATTTCAGTGTGTGTTAAACCAGGAATGACAAGCAATTGTAGTCTGGCCATATTCTTTGAATTTTCTCTCTGCCCTGAGCAATGAAAGTGTCTCCTTCATTCAGTGTTCTGAGTATCCAGTGAGGCTGAAGTGACGCTGCCGTGAATTCTCAAGTGCGATGCAGATGTGGGACGGCTGTGAAGCCAAGCAGATGCACCTGGAGTGGGTGACTGCCATGGTTCAAGGGCAACTGAAGGAACTGACATGTCTTTATCTTTGTGTTTCTCTCCTGCCAGGACCGGGACCAGTATTCACACTTGCTGAGTGACCATTTTCTACCATACCAAGGTCATAATTCCTTTCGTGAGAAATATTTTAGTGGTGTGACAAAAAGAATTGCCAAGGAAGAAAAATCCAGCCAAGAATGAAAATCATGACGTTGACAATCAAGAAAGAATAGCGTTTTATAGAAACTACCTGTGCTGTTTAAAATTTTTATATAAATAACTATAAATCAAAATTGAATAATTCAAATGATCTTTGCTTTAGAGACTATTTTGATGTGTCTTTTGAACCTGGTTAAGTTCAGGGACTGATACATATAGATGGAGTCTGTGTTTATATTTTTACAGAGAAAATATTGTTAACTTTTAAGCCATATTTGCCAGGTATATAGTAAGCAATTAATAGTCCTTTAGAATATTTTCATTTTGTAAATTTGCTTGGCTTGGTTTTTAGTTGTAGCTGTTTTTCATTGCCATCAATAAACTTTACTGAGAATTTCTAAAAGTTGTGTAGTACTCAGTATTGCTCATCTCATCTCATGGACAGCTTTGTGGAAAATGAGTCCATACAGGTCAGAACAACAGGGGCCATGCTACTGGGAGGGAGGCTAAGGCCTGAGAACTGTGGAGATTCCAGCCTCATGCCTCCAAGGGCCTGTGCATCTGCACCGTGCCCGCACTGTGGTGTGCTCTCAAATTCCTGAAACTTAACTGTTGGTCAAGTTAACTAACTACTCCCAAATTTCAGTTTAGCAACTAACTGATGGTTAAAAGCGGGAGCAACAACAGCTCAAGACCCCGATGGACCCCTAATGGTATTAGGCCTAATTAGTACTCTTTGAAACAGAAGCTCTGTTTTTCTTGAAGGGAAACTTTGCTGAGTCTACATTGTGTCCATCCTGGAAATATCTTCCTTGAAAACCACTGTACCCATTAATTCTAGATGCTAATAGCTTTCTGCTTTTGGTGGTCAAATGTACCTCAGCAGGGCGGCAGTAAATGGATACTTTCTCTCTAACCAAAGCCTATTTTTATTTGTGTTATTATTATTATTATTATTCTCTGACTGTGACTGCTGAGTTTTATGAACTCAGTATTAACTTACATGACTTAGGAGCTGCCGAAGACCAAGGCTACGGGTGGAGGTCAGCGTTCCACCGCCTCCTACTTGTCTTACAGTGCAGTCCTGGATTTCAGGGCGTCTAAAACCTTTCCTGATTGGTTTGTTTGGGTTTCTGGATGTTATCTGTGGTACTCTGGGGAAAATCTAAAAGTATTCAGGGATGATTTATTGGCAGTATTTCTGTTATATGCCGTCTTGTTTTTAAGTTTTTGAGGTTATGTGGGGGATGGGTATGAAACTTTATAGCTGACTCAATTGCAATATGAGATTTCTAGTTTAACCTCTTTTTGTGAATTGTCTCAAAGCTTACTCCAAATAAGGTCTAGAAATTCACAACATTAATTTTAGTCTCTTTGTCCTTAATAATTAATCATAATAATTAAATCGAATCATTTTATTACTAGTAATTGAAATCTTCTGAACATCAATTCTTCCAGCCACGAGGTTTATTTTCATATTTATTAGTAAGTTCAGCTTCCTACTCCTGAAGTGTCACTCAAAGTTTAAACATATATATTGCTTTAATGTTGAAGCTCATAACTACTGGAGTAACTTGATAACTTCCAATCAATTTTGATTTTAGGATGTAGGTCTTCAGTGCTTTCTCTTTTGTAAAATTTTATTTTATTTATTACTATTATTATCATTATTAATTAGTGTGTGTGTGTGTGTGTGTGTGTGTGTGTGTGCACGCAAAGGTAAGAGGACCACTCCATGATTTCTGGAGATTAAATTTAGGTTGTTAGGATTGAGCCCAAAGGGCTTTTACCCACTGAGCCATCTTGTTGGCCCCCAAGTTTTCTTACTCTAAAAACAAAGCCTTTATTTTCTGTGTGAGTTTATTTTCTGCGTGAGTTTGGTAGGTGACCTTTTCCTCATGCATTTACAAGCAGGAATATCTCCTAGCAAGATGCCAGTGTTCACAAAGACCTATAGTTTGAATTTGTAGGATATTCTGCAAGAGAACTGTAGGTGGTCTGTGGACTGGCCTACTTAATGTTTATAATATGACAAAGTATGTAATTTTGTTTCTGGCATATATTAAATAGCCATAAAATCCAGATGGTTACCTCAGTAGTGCCTCATCAGAAGCACCTCCTTTCCGTCCATTTTGTTGAGTAATTTCTTTTTCCTGTGATAACTGCGGGGAAATAGTGGAGTAGGTGGTCTTGGGTTTGTTTAGCCAAAGTGGCTAGAAGATTTTTTTTTTTTTTAAGTTGAAAATCTGTTAAAATTTTCTCGACCTCTTCCTGCCCAGCAGGAGCCTGTTTTGAGCCAATTTCCAACCAAATTCCTCATGACTAACTCTTCAAATACATGGACTGAGCAGTAAACAGTTAGAGACTCTAAGCTCCGGAGGTAACTCAAGGTTGTCACTACTTCCCTTTTGAGAAAACTCCCTCAATCCCTGAGATCCCCTGCGTGTGAAAGAAAAAATGGTGATTCCAACTAAAAACTATGTTGAATTTGATGTAGAAAAGTAGAATGTGTTAATGCCACTGACTGTTGTACTGGGTGTGTTATTTGATTGGATTGAAGATTTGAGCTCTAAGACAGAAATATTTTTTAAGGTACCATTTTCTATACTCAGTATACATTAAAAGCAGGAGGTAGGCTTTCTTTTAGCATCCGGAAATTACATGTTAACGGGTGTATTACCTAGATGCCAATATAAGCAACTCTATATTTGGAATAAGATGCCTTTGATGTTAGGTGAACTTCTAACATGTTGTGCTAGAAATATCAAGTACTTTTTATTGAAAGAGATATGGAATAAATTATAAAGTTTGTTTATTTATTTAAAATTAGAGATGACTATTTGAGAACTTGTCTTTCTGTGTCATTTTATTGTATTTCTCCTGAAAAAGTGAATAACTCTAACATTAGTCATTCTTCTGTTGTATTATGTATGCATATAAGGTTGTGTGTATATGTGTGCATATGTATGATATGTACAATGTGTGTTATGTGTGAGTATATGTAGAGTTCAGAAGTCAACCTTGGGTGTTGGTCCTTATCTTCTGCTTTGCTTGAGACAGTCACCTCTTTGTTTGGCCCTGCATGTATTTGCCAAGCTGGCTTGGCTGGCTGCTCGCCAGGAGTCTCCTGTTTCTTCCCATCTCTCCTTAGGAGAACCAGGATTACAAGCCACTACCAATCCCAGCTTTCTATGGGTCCTGCACATTTGAACTCTGGTAATTATACTTTCTTGGTAAGTCCTTTATCCAGTAAGTCTTCCCTCCAAACTTCTGGCACTTCTTACAGTTAAAAACCCAAAACCTTCCTAGATAAAGCAGAGCATAGTAAAATTCAGCGCAGTGAATTAGTAAGTAAGGATGGAGTGGAGGTGGGTGTTACCAAGGAAACTGTTGACCTAACTGCTGACCTTTCTGACCAAAAGAGAATAAATTACACCAAAATGAAAGCCTTGGCCTTTCTTTTTGCAAGAATATGGTTTTTGCTCCATTACAAAGATACTTAGTAAACTAAACACTTGCAAGAAGCATTTCTCCCCTTAGGATTGTATTCAAAAAATAAGTGAAGTTCACGTTCTTTTCCAACACACCCACTCCCATTTTTCTCAGATATTTATCAAGTAATGTGGTTTATAATCCAAACAAAAAAAGTGCCTTAATCCAGAACATACACACAGACACGATAACTCTAGGCGGATGCTGTTTGTACTTTGCTAAAACGTTGAGATCTTCTCTAAAACAAAGTGGTTTGCACACATACAGTCTAGAGTGTAAAGAATTATAGTGGAATGGTAAACATATCTGTGATTCTATCTAGCCATAGAATCAGAGTAACAGCACATTCCTGTCTGTCCTTTGGGGTGAACAAACTTAGAAAGAACCTGACTGTTCCCTTAAAAGAGGCCTGCCTCGGGACGTGCATATGTTTCCTTGTGTGGGAAAAGCACATTGACATTTACACATAATTGAGGCCAACCTGGAATTTGGCTCTTACCCCTTCCTTCCTTCCTAAGCCATTGTAGGCAGGCCCTTAGGAGAATGGAGTTTAGTCGTTAGTGAAGTCTCTTAAGAACCTTGAGTAGGGCTGGAGAGATGGCTCAGTGGTTAAGAGCATTGCCTGCTCTTCCAAAGGTCCTGAGTTCAATTCCCGGCAACCACATGGTGGCTCACAACCATCTGTAAAGAGGTCTGGTGCCCTCTTCTGGCTGCAGACATGCACACAGACAGAATATTATATACATAATAAATAAATAAATATTTTTTTAAAAAAAAAGAACCTTGAGTCATGGGACAAAGTGGAGCTTAGTGTAGGAAAGTTAAGGATCGCCATTCTCCTTTATGTAACCCATACCCCAGGTTCTCGGGATACTGGGATGTGCATAGTAGACTTTTCTTGTAGACTTTGAGCGTTCTCACCTAACCGGCTATGTTGTTGTCATGTTGAACTGGATTGCTTGAAAGGGGTTCACTTTGACATTTTAACCTCTAATTTCAGAATCTCCCCTTTAATCAAGCCTCCTCGACCTTCCTAAGGGTTTATCAAGAGAACAGTTGTGACTAACACATTAAGTGTTAGCCATGAAGGTTAGCTGGGCCTGTGTATGAAGTTAAGCAAGTTAAAAGAAAAAAGGGCTGGGGAAGAGAGCTAGAAATGTCAGTGTTACTTATGATATTGAAATTGTGCTTTTGGTGGGCATTCAAGTTGTGGAAATATTTAAATGGGTCAAAATGGTCAGAATTGGACTAAGTGAAAGCTAAAATCTGTGAGCCCGTTAATGTTTGTGTATAACTCATGAACTGGAACCCACATAGCTTCACATACCTGTAAAATTAGTATTCTTGAGGCTGAGACAGGAGGATCATGGATTTCAAGCCAGCTTGGGCTCATAGTGAAATCTGGTCTCACAAATGAAACAACAGTCATTCAGTCCACCACACATTGGAGTGCATTCAGTACAAATGGCAAGTTTGTGTGTGTGTTGGGGTGGGGGTTGGGAGGCCAGTGTTGGTTTTGTTATTTGCATTTTTTTTTTGGAACATATACTTGTGGAGGAGCAATTCTACACAGAACTCTTGCATTCTCTGTGTCTGTCTAAGTAAGGTAGGTACCTAAACTGTAATGAGCTGGGATTCTGGAAAAGAAGGTTTTCTTCAAACTCTTTCTACAAGTCACAGAACAATAGTCAAGTAAGCATTCACACAGTCTTGGAAAATAGTGTCTTCTCTCCAGAGTAAAAGCATTGTAAATACCCTTGATTTTTTTTTTTTAAAGAACTAAGTTCGCATTTTTTTATAAATAAAACTCACTGTGTGTACAATTACCTCTTTGGACCTATTGACCTCACCACTTTAATCTTTGTCATGATTTTTAATGATTGTCATGCTTGCTGCATATACATTATAAGTTCCTTGTACATTATTCAGAAGGCTCATATCTTCTGCCAGCACTCATGAAACTGCCCATTAACTTACTGGATTATAAAAAGCAAAGTCTTGGATCCTTTACAGTTCTCAGTTGGGTAATGAGGATAGGATTCTGGCAAAGATGTTGCTCACTAAGAAAGGATGAGCTTTTTGACGTAATAACAGGATTTTAAAGAAGTCCACAGGAGTTGCTAATAAACCTCTAGGGCCACCCAGGTCACAAAGCTGTCTTTATTGTTTGCTGATAAGGAATGTGGCAGTTTCAATAGTAATGGCTCACGTAGGCTCATAGGTTGGAATGTTTGGTCACCAAGGAGTGGCACTGGTAGGAGGTATGGCCTTGTTGGGGGAAGTGTGTCATTGGAGATGGGCTTAGGGATTTCTAATGTTCAAGCCAGGCCCGTGTCTTTCTTCTTGCTGTCTACTGATCCAGATATAGAATTCTTGGTTCCTTCTTCAGCATCATGTCTACCTGTGAACCACCATGTTTCTCACCATGATGATAATGCACTAAACCTCCGATCCTCTAGGCCAGCTCCAATTAAATGTTTTCCTTTATAAGAATTGTCATGGTTATCATGTCTCTTCATAGCCAAAGAAACCCTAAGACAAGGAGTGAGTCAAATATCCAGAAGTAGGCTCAGAGCCCCAAGACCTAAGAGGTCCCCATTTCTTTTTGCAGCTCATTTTCTGTGATTAGGGTTGGTGGGATGTGGGCTTTGCAGTTTCCTCAGTGGTCTGAGGAACATTTCATTTATATTTTAATGAATAAAACTTGTCAGATATAATTTGATCTCCTAAAGAAGCTAAATAAGAAGGTGATCCCA